GTGTGGTGCCACGGAAGCTGCTAAAAACTGTCATACTTGGTATTGCCCTTTTGACTCTGGAGATGGCCTTGATGGTAATCATCAATAATAAAATGTGCTACCGCAGCAAGATTGATTTTCTAATTCATCCCATTAAACTGCAGCATTCTCAAAATAATCATATTGCTATTTTTCTACAAGAATTGGACTGACATAATTCCACAGTAAACCTGCAGGTTCGAATTCTTTATCATTAATCAATAACCTCCCAAAGACTGGGCTACAATTCCTCAGCTGCTGGGCTACACTTCCACAGGCATGAGAAAACCTCTAGCCATTCTTCATACGATCTTAGGAATAGTAATGGCAACAGATAAGTTGATAGGTAAAACATCTTTAAATTTGATATAGACCCTGAAATGTTGAAACGTTTCATTACGCCTCACGATAATTACTAAAGTGGAGTGACCACATACTTGACAGCAAATGTGACAACCATTTTTCACATAAGCAACCATGTAGTGCATGACCAATTTATCTGGAAGATTGTTGGCCAGGACAGAAAAACTCCTTTCTATTTTCGAATAGCATCATAGAACCTTAATGTCCACCGGAAAGGCAGACAGGGCCTCAGATTAACATCTCATCTGAAGGACAGCATTTCTGTCAATGCAGTACTCCCAAGTACTCCACTGGAGGACTCAACTGGGAGCTCAAGGTAATGAAGTGGGGGCTTGATCCACAATTTTGTGACCCAGAAGCAAGAAACTTGCACTGAGCCAAGATCACATTACCAATATAGGCCACTGGATACCCATTAAGAACGGGATCCCCATCTGAATCATGCCAACTGTAGAACCCTGAAATCAGATATGAAATTGCTACAAGCCAAACACTTAAACCCCAGCTAGCCAGATGAATGCTGGGGAGAAATCCAGTATGGCGAAGCGGAATTTCCCGCTTGGTGTTTAATTGTTTGAATCCTGCAAGCAGAGGACAGTGAATAAGCTATTTTCTGCTTGCAAAATTTAATCAATCTAAGTCAATGTCGATATCCCTGGCCACTGTGAAGACCAACAAGCACACCAAAAGAGTTGGGCTGGCAGGAGTCAGAAAGGACATTTTTATACATATCTAAACAAATTCTTGGGGGTTTTGGGCCTGGACTGGCTAGGTTTGAATTCCAGAAACCCGGAGTCCAGTAAGCCGGGGCTGTACTGTATACTATGAAAGCAATTTTGCTTCAGACTCAAACCTCAAATATTGACCTGAGCAAGTTCATTCTAACTACAGAAGGCAGCACAACCCATTGAAGTGGCAGACAGACTGACCTCCACCAACATTATATAGGGGGAAATCATCATGGAAAACAGCCCAATCTAAAACAATACAACAGGAGGCATATATCAATCCATCTAAACAAAACCTCACAAAACAATTAAAAGGTAGCCAAAATAAAGTAATCGTATTTGATATAGCAACTTTTACATTGGGAAGATGTCTCAAAGCATTTCACAAGATTTAGAACTATATATTTTTGTAAGGGAATACGACAACAATGTCCCACAAACAGACATGAAATTAATGACCATTTTATCTGGAGAATTGTTAGCCTGGACACCAGGAGATACTCCCTTCTTTCAATTTGTGGTATGGAACTTTAGCATCCACCTTAACAGGCAGACAGCCCTTGGTTTAACATTTCATCCGAAGGATGGCATCTCCAATAATGTAGCATTCCTCCAGCACAGGAATGTCAGTCTAGATTATGAGTTCAAAGTCCTAACACAAGGTTTGAACACCCAACCTTCTGATTCAGAGGCAAGAGTGTTATCAACTGACACTTGTCCAAAAACTGACATCGCTGTCTGAAAACTTTGGACAACAGAATATCACACTGCATTCAGATATAAATACTATAAAAAGGAATTAAATCCATACTTTACAGTGTATGTACTACAGCACTACATGAACACCATACAATTAAAGAACTGTTACCTAAAATTAAAATATTCTAAATATGCCATTTTTCAATTTCAGACTGCTAATGCTTAAATTACCTGGTTAAATTTTACAATAATAAAAAAATGCACAGATTACAACATATACTTGTAATGTTATTCTGTATATTTATGAATTAACAATCTGTAGCACATTCCAAGAAGGTAACATATCTCAGAGTTTAGATGCTGTTGAGAAGACTGCTTAAGCTTTGTTTTCTTTGCAACATATAACTTTTTAAATCCCTTCTGTTATTACCTTCCAAAATATCCACATCCAATATTAAGCACAAATACATCCACTATATTACGAGGTTTGTTCACAACATACAGATTGGAGTAATAAGACACAAATAGAGGACTAAAACAAGAACAAATCACCATATACACAGGTGAATCCCTCAACATATCAGTCCAGAAACAAAAAAGATGATGTATTTTATTCCTTAATTTACAGGTGGATTTTGTGAGTTTATTCTATTTCTAGACAGTATTGAGTGCCACAATGCTCCCAAAACAGAGACCTGATCTACAACTGAACTGCATGACACAAACTGAACTGCTGCTGCACTGCATCGTTTAAATGAGGCAAGTGTTTTATTTTACAGTATATTAATATTATAGCAAAGTCTGTGAATACACACGCACACCCACAAACCTAGTATATCTACAGGGCATTCCTACTTATAAACATTTATGAGACAAGTTAATCCGCTGGCATTTGCAATGCTTTCTACACAACTCATTGCTGTTCCCACACTCAACCTGAACCACTAACACTACTAATTTCCAGTTCCCTTTTAACCCAGACTACTATTTTTATTCCAATCATAATGGCAAATACCATCAAAAACAAGTCACACAAAGCAACATGCTGAAACATAATTTGGAATTAACATTCAAAAACTTTGATCATAAAATATGTATGCAAAAATATGTATTGTTAAAGAACAGTCCCAATATTGAACAAGAAAATGCCTTCGAACCGGCCCAAAGTAAGATCCATCTTATTACTAGTTAACACCGAGAGCAATCTTGAAAGATTATCCAAAACAATACACAACGAAAACCAGGAGTCATAAATCACAAAACTGGTAAGCGTTGCACTGAAGGTAAAATAAGGCACCTTGTTTAATACGGTGTTAAATTTTACACCAGCCCCTCTACAACAACAAAATTAATTTGTAGAGTGCCTTTCACGTTGGGAGGACGTCCCAAGGCAATGGACAGAGTTTCGGACCCAAGCTGGGGGTGGAGGGCAGAGGGGCAAGCAGGTGATCAAAAGAGGAGGGTCTTGTGATCGGTCTTGAAGGAGGCAAGGGAGGGGGCGAGGTGGAGCGACTGCGAGATGGAGCAATCCTCCCTACCTCTGCAAGAAGGTATAAAGAAATTATAGAAAGCATGTTACATTGTGTGATCCTCAAACCATGCATTACATTCAGAAATTTAAAAAGCTCCACATTGTAACTCTTATTTCATTCAGAGAATTTAAAAGTTAGCATTTCACAATATCTAAATTTAGCCAGGCAAAATATTGTGAATGTGGAACATTTTTAAGTTATAAAACTGCGAAAACTCTGAAAAAAATCAAATATCACCTCTGTATTAATCAAATACATTAATTATACCTACCTCTTACCACAGCAGAATAGTTAAATAAAAGTACAAATTTGAATGATGCACTGGGCCTGGACCAAAAATGTGCAACTCAACAGGATTGGGTACACCCAACCTTCGCTTACATGCATAACAGGCATTCAAGCATGCAGAGTTGTTACTTTGACCCTTGACAGAAGGTCTCCGTACTTTTTAAAATAACCAATTTCCAAGGATTCCTACAACAGGATAACTGAATTTGAAATGTAGCTATTTCTAATATGAGAGACATTTTTTGGTGACTAATAACGCAGTGTTCAAAAATCATAGTACAGTAACGTGCGCAACTTTAGACAGGCTTCATAAATGTCAACTGGTGGTCATAGCACCACTTCCAAAACCCGCTTAGTGCAGTATATTTCTTGATATTTACCCATTGTCAAACAGTAAAAGTGAAACAAAATGTTTCAAAGGCTCAACAGTTTCCAAATACAGCAGGCAAAGACCGACAATATAAATCGTTTTTTTCAAACTTGAAATTAGAGAGCAGAATATTAAATTGCTGTAATGTGAAAAGCAATTCCTGGATTCAGAGCATTAGCTATATGCTACTGATTATGATTTGTGGTCTGACCTGTGCTGTACCAGTTACTACCCACACCCCATTTCATCATGCAGAAGCATCACCAATTGAAAATAAAAAAATTGTCCATCACTAGGTGATAGCAATACTGAACACAATTATACAATTAAAACTACTTGTGCAACATTGTAAAAAAAACACTATTAGATAAGACCTCGATCTCCTGCTAAAGTAGTAAATGCCTTTAAAGAAAGAAAATCTCATGTGAAAAAATATGAATTGCAAACGAAATCAAGTTCCTCCAAATATCATTACATATCCTGACTACCTCCAAATATTTGATATCTAACCTCATCCATTCCCATCCAGGCCAATACTTATTCACACTACATTCAGTATCTTAGACCCCCGCAGAGACAACGCAAGGCATGTCAGGATCTGCACAATCGGTGTTTCAGTACAACAATGCAATGCACAATGACATTACAAATGTAATTTACAAAAACCAAATTAAATTCCTAGGCCACATTTCTAATTTGGGTTCCTTTTTTTTAAAAAAAAAACCCCAAAGGTCAAATTCAAATGTTCTTCTGCAGCCCCTAATGCAAAGCCCCCCCCCCAAAAAAAAAATCTTAATATAATAAACCTTGAAATTGTACAAAACCCAGTTTTTAAAAAGGGAGGAACCACATCTTCCTCCCCCCACCCTCCCCTCCCCTCCCCCAGCCCCCCCCCCCAAAAAAAAAATTAAAACACTGCATGGACGTGCACTCCTCCATCCAAACCAAACCCATTGCCTTCCTTTTAGCAAAACCCATCAGAAGCGAATCTCAAATGGATACACGTCAAGTCCAAGTCGAATCCATCTTCCTGGAATCTCCTCTTGTTTCTGCTGACAAGTTCTTTAATTCTCGAAGCCATGTCTGTGCGTGCGATCCTTGGCTGCAGCGGCGGCGGCGGCGGCGGCGGAGGGAGGAGGAGGAGGTGGTTGGTGGTGGTGGTGGTGGATGTGGAAATGGCTCCGGCCGCTCTCGCTGGTTATGGCTGTCACACACAGGGCCTACACCGACCGACTCGGGAAAGACGCGCAACTCTTGCGCTCTCTCTCTCTCACCTCCTCAGTCAACTCCCGTCAATAATCTTTGCGGTGGTGGGGATGGTTTTTGGAGGCCTTTATATACGTGTGTGTGTGTGTGTGTGTGGGGGGGGGGGGGGTATATATATAATATTAATATATATATATAAATCACCATAGGAGAATAGGAGAGAATGATCCGAATTGCGCGGTGAGGCCGCCACAATCACAGGCTCCGTCTCCGATTCCTCGTCCTCCGCCACCGCTGCCGCCGGGTCGGGGGAGCAGGAGCGGGGGGAGGGGGAGGGGGAAGGGGAGGGGGGGGGGGGGGGAAAGGGGGAAAAGGAAAAAAGGGGGAAACAAATCTTCGTCCGTGATTCAAACAGGTATAAAACGGAGACGTTTCTTTTTATATTTATCTATAAAAAGTTTTTTTTTGTGTGGGGATAAAAAAAATCCCCCCCCCACCCCCCGCCGCACCCCCGGCTCTGGGCTCCTTTTTCCACCGAATGGGTCTTCGTTCGTGCAGCAAACGCGAAACACAAAATTAATCCACGCTCCCGAATCCAGGCTCTTCTTCCTCTTTACAGCCAAATAATAAAAGGGGGACGAGATGGAGCCCTTTCTGGGGGTTGGAGGAGGAGGAGGAGGAGGAGAGGAGGGGTGGTGGTGGTGGTGGTGGGGGGAGATGATACTTGTTCGCTCGCTCGCTCGCTCACCCGCCTTCCTGCCTTCCCGCCTGCCCACCCGCTCGCTCTGGGTCCGGCTCCGGCTCCAGCTGCGGCCCGGGTCCCGACTCCAGCCCCGGCTCCGGCCGCCGCTCCGATTCTCAAACTTCCATCATGGCTTCCCGGGAAAAGACAGCGCAGCGCAGGGCAACGTAACCTTCCGCGGCACAAGAAAGCGTCCCCCCCCTCTCAACAAACCTCCTTCCTCTTCATTGAAGCCCCCCCCACCCCCCTCCTCCACACACAGCCGCCGCTCTCTTGCTTTGGAAGTGAGATCTGTGCCTCGGCGAAGGTGTTTCTTTTACGTGTACTTTTAAAAACTCGAAACCAAATGAGATATTACAACACTGGTGGCGGTGATTATCCGGCGGCGGAGTGACGCGCTGCTGACAGGGCGGCACTACTTGCAGAGCCCGGGCGGGTCACGTGATATCCAGAGTCAGACCCTCAGTTCAGTTCTCAGCTCCATCCCAGCTCAGCCCAGACTCAAACCCGGCTCACCTCCGCCCAGAGCCTGGCTCACCTCAGCCCGGCTCAAACCCCTCTCACCTCAGCCTAGAGCCCGGCTCAAACCCGGCTCAACTCAACCCGGAGCCCGGCTCATCTCAGCCCGGCTCAAACCCCTCTCACCTCAGCCTAGAGCCCGGCTCAAACCCGGCTCACCTCCGCCCAGAGCCTGGCTCACCTCAGCCCGGCTCAAACCCCTCTCACCTCAGCCCAGAGCCTGGCTCACCTCAGCCCGGCTCAAACCCGCCTCACTTCAACCCAGAGCCCAGCTCAAACCCGGCTCACCTCAGCCCAGAGCCTGGCTCACCTCAGCCCGGCTCAAACCCGGCTCACCTCAGCCCAGAGCCTGGCTCACCTCAGCCCGGCTCAAACCCGGCTCACTTCAGCCCAGAGCCCAGCTCAAACCCGGCTCACCTCAGCCCAGAGCCTGGCTTAAACCCCTCTCAACTCAGCCCAGAGCCCGGCTCAAACCAGGCTCACGTCAGCCCAGAGCCTCGCTCAAACCCGGCTCATCTCAGCCCTGAGCCTGGCACAAACCACTCTCACCTCAGCCCAGAGCCCGTTTCAGACCAGACTCACCTCAGCCCAGAGCCCAGCTTCGTCCCAGAGCAAGCTCAAACTCCTCGCATCTCAGCCCTGAGCCAGACTCAAACCAGGCACATCTCAGCCCTGAACTAGGCTCAGACCTGAGCCCACCTTGCCTCAGAGCCCGGCTCAGCCCAGACTCACCTTAAGACCCAAGTCTGGCTCAGACTCGGCTTACCTCAGCCCAGACCCCGGCTCACCTCAGCTCAAACCCTAGCTCACCTCAGCCCAGACCAAACCCTGGTGTTGGCATCAAACTGGGCTCCTGTGATATTCAGGGCCGGTCCAGTCGCAGACTTGGGTTTTAAAACATGTGGAACTATTTGGGGGAATGTACCTGCGCCAGTGTGTGTACACTTAGTGCCGATAAACCTCTGGTCAATTGCGCCCCCGTGCTCTGCTGTGAAGAATTGGACGGGGGAAATTGGCTGGCTGAAAAGTGCAAATTGGAAAAACCCTACTGTAGTCACATGTTTATATATAAAATGCAGTTATCTCCTGTTAAACCTAGTGACTTTGTTAAGGAGAATCTAAGCATATTCGGTTGCAAATTTGCAATCTGCACCTTTCGAGCAACACTTCAAGTGTTCATTAAATAAATCTTATACATTGTGCAGGAAATTAAAACATTGATAAAATACAATAAATGTGCAAAAAGGATATTTTCCTCCTTTTGATGTAGAGGTGATAACATAATGGAAAATTGAAGATTATCCTGCATACAACAACAAGATTACATTTGTATAGCGCCTTTCACGTCAGGAGGACGTCCCAAGGCGCTGGACAGTGTATAGCATTTCAGACCCGAGCTGAGGTCGGTGGGCGGGTAGAAGGGAGGGGAGGGGAAGGGGGGTGACCGATGGCATGGTATATTAACAAATGTAACATCTTCTATTTGATCCTTAGCTGTTTTCAATCTTAGTGTGCATTTTAGGTTCCTGCCACTTACTTACTTTGAAATGTTCAGTGAACTTGTAAATACATTTCAGTCAGCCTTCCCGACTTAGATCTAAGGTACTAGGGAAAATAACTAACCCGACAGAAGCTCTCTTTCAGTTCATCCAGCCATATTTTAAGGATAAACTCTAGAGTAAGTGTAAAATAATACCAAGAGCTATATTCCAGTATCAATACTTGGATTAGTCCAAAGATTAGAATGTTTCTGAAGATAATCCACATTTTCAATGCTGGAAATCAAGGTGAGATTTCTATGTACCTGTATAGCTTTAATACGCAATCCCATAATTGGAACATCACCCACAAGCCTGTGTTTGATTGAAGTGTACTATTTGTACTGGGCTGCATGAAGATTTTCAGCTGTGATTATTATGATTTTACCAGATCAAACATCAAATTGGTTGTTTATTTGTGCCTCTAAAGACGTTTAATATGAGTCATCAGTGGTGTAAATTAAAAGCATTACTAGGCAGAAACCAAATACTTGTAGGATTCATTCGGGGGTAATATATGTATACAGGTAGAAGGAATATAATGTCCATGTCATTACTAAAAGTACAAACAATGGTCACATATCCTTAGACACAAAAGTGAATGCATTTGGCATTTTCTGAAAGGGAGAAAAGATTCAACATTAACTTAAAAACAATCAAAACTTGAAGCTCCCTTCAATCAAGGAAGATTCAGAAAGGGTTAACAAAGTGGTACATGGTCAGACATGAGTGTTAAATGATATATTCAAGTACATTTTGATTAGATACTGAATTGTTGAACTCTAAAGAGATTTGGTTGAACACTACTGATACCCATCCTGACCAGCTGTAGGAAATGTATATAGCTCTTTTTTTTGGTTAGATCAAATCGTTCGCGAATATGCAGAATGAAGACTGTTTCTCTTGTTTATTTTATACTTTTTAGAAATATCATGCCATAAGTTAGTGTTGTTTGCTGATGTTAAATCCAGTTGGTGAGGAGAGATGAAAGTATACACATGAACAAACATGTCAGAGGTTTAATGTGCGATACATTTGCTCCTCAGGCAGATAGTTTTAGATATTACAGTTCAAGAGAGTACCAAACAAACCTGCATTTGAATTATCTAATATGTAATATTACCAACCTCCTGCATTTTTTTAGATTATAGAAGTACAGTCTTGGAGTCATGTCAGTTTTAACATGTAAACTTTACTACCTAAATCAAGTCTGACTATATTCATCTCTCATAAATGCTGATTCAGCAATTAACTAACTTGACATGTTTGCTTACCTGGAGCTCCTCCAATCTCATAAATTCCATTCACTTCTCACAGGGTAGTTTCTCTAAATTAGTTAAATTTGCCTCATTCCATTTGATCTCACTATGCCTTGACATTTCAATTCCCATGTTTCATTCTGCCCTTGATATTCTTTACCCCCGCGTAATACCGGATTCAACATTAAAGCAAACTTCAGAAGCAATGTCTATTTTTTTTTCTGAATATTTCATCTGGCAGACCCTCACATTGTCTTTAACATCTTTAAACCTTGGCTGCCTCCTCCACTTTCCTAGCCAACCCAAGGTAATACGCCCACCCACAAAATACAGTCATTACACTATACAATATATTCTGTGAAGTGCTTTGAAACATCTCAAAGAAGTGATAAGGCGTTTATCAAATGCAAGGTATGATTTTTTTTCAAAGTTGTTCTGGATTTCACTTTCTCATAGCTGTTTCATCTTTATCTTGCAAATTAATATCGTTCTGAGATTACCTTTCTCCAGTGTACAATATTTTAACTCGCCTGCATTTCACAATCTGTTAATGACCCATAAGCTGCCTCTTTTGCACTTCTGGTGTAATTTTAAAATGATGATTGCTTTCTAATTGCTTGGTCTGGACTTCCCCTTCTCAGTGCTAGAAGGGGTTTCTCAGCACAACTTTACCATTCCTGATGAACCACACCTGAAAAGTAATCATTTTCCCGTCAGGTGCTGTACGACCTGTGCATTTCCAATGTTTTACATGTCTTAAGCCTTCCTACAGCCAAAGTTCCAGAAGTTGTCACAGTTTACTCAGCTGCAGACTTCGTTACATTAACAGGGAGGGATAATTCTGAATAAATATCAGGTGACTGACTGACTAACTACAAAGAAGTAGGGGGTGCCAGGAGTGAGTGTTATTTCCTCGTCAGCTTGCGAAAGCAAGACGGGTGAAAGTTGCGCATCGTTTATTACATTACCATTTTCAGAAGCGGTTTGAAGAACAGCGTTTCATCCGCGGGCAATTGGCTGCTGCTTTTCCCTCACAACATAAAACTCGGCGAATTCGCTCTGCAGCGTCATCCTACGAAGCACTTTGAGGCGTCTCGAAGACGCGATGAGGCGCCATATCCAATGCAAGGATTATTATTATTATTATTTACCCCCTCCCTCCCTCCCTCCCTCCTCACCACCCATTTGCAGAGCTGAACAAGACATCAACACGGTACTCCGAACGATTTTTTTTATTATTATTATCATCATCATCATTTTGCCAGATTTACCTTTCAAAGACGGCTCCCGTGTGTTTCTTTAAGTTTTTTTTAAAAAAAAGAAAAAAATGTGCTTTTCGAGAGCCGAACGGAAGGGGATCGCGCGCCGCGGCCGTTAGCGGCGGTGGCGGCGGTCTGACGTCGCGTCGTCCTGCGCAGGCGCGCGGCCGCTGTCACGTGGCGGTGGGTCAGAGGTCGCAGCGCCGCCTTTCGGTTTCCCTTTGGGCGCTCGAAGGCTTCAGGTGAGTTTCTCTGCGGCGTCGGCTTTGTCGGCCTCCCTCAGAGGCGACGAGGAGTACCCGGGGTGTGGGCGGGAGAGGCGAAATAAAATGTTGCTGCTGTTAATCTGATTGCCACGAAGGTGAAGGGTGGAGAAGAAGAAAGCGGCGGCAGCGGGGGAGGGTGGGGGGAGAAGAGAGGCGCTCGGGAAGGTCAGGGCCGACCGGCATCAAGGAGGGAAGATGGAGGGGGATTTTTTTTTCTGTGTCATTGTCGCTGTCGGGTAATAACCGGGGGGTGGGGGGGGGGGTATATAAACAGAGGCCGTCCCCAGAGCAGAGCCAGGCTTTGAGGGGGTGGGGAGGGGGTAATTTGTCACAATACACGGAGTTTAACCTTGAGAAATTGTAAAGCTTCGCTGGGAAGTCTGAAATTGTGTGTGTGTGTGTGGGGGGGGGTTATTTTTTTTTAAAAAACCCCCAACTATTACATTAGGATTTTAATTAGTCGGTCCCAGTGATGGGAAAACGAGGTCGATTTTCGAAGTGACGGAAACTGAGAGGTTTCAAGTTCAAGCAGCAGCTTCACCGGCGAAGGTGCCCCTGAAGAGTCCATTTCAAACGTTGTGCGGCAGATGTGTCTCATTTCTGTCCTGGGGGGGGAACGTCCTATGGACTACAATGCAAACTAATGTGCTGGTACGATGAAATGCAGGCAAACTAGTGATTCAACAATTGTATCCCTTCCCGAAACTTGGGCTCCCATTCAGTCTTTTTAAAGTGCTTTGAGATATCCCGATGCTCCCTATTATGATAGGTGCTGTAAAAATCCGCCTGGCTCAATTGGAAGCTTTCTGCCTCTGAGCCGGAAGGTTCAAACCTCACATTGAGACTTTAACCAAACATAATCTAGAATGACCCACCAATATACTGCTGGGATTGCACCGTTAGAGGTGACATCCTTTGGATTGTCTGTCTTTGTAGGTGGAAGTTGAAAATCCACTGGATCTGTTCAAACAGAGGTGGGAATTTATCCTGGTTTTCCTGGCCAATAATCCCCCAGATAAAATTGATCACTCACTTTATGACAAATGTATCAGCCTGGCTCAGTTCGTAGCACTCTCACCCCATGAGAGTCAGAAGGTTGTGGGCTCAAACCCCACGTCGGAACTTGAACTCGTATAGCATAAGATGACAATCCAATGCAGTCCTGGAGGGGTGTTGCATTTTTACAGGTGCCGTCCTTCGAAAGATGTTAAATCTGAGGCCCAGTTTGCAGGTTCAGGTGGACGTTAAAGATCCCATGGCATTGTTCAAAAAGAGAAGGGAGTAGTTACCATTGTCGTGGTCAACAATTCCCCCAAATAAAATTGATCATTCATCTTATGGTGGTTTGTGAGACATTGCTGTGCACAAATTGGCAGCTATGTTCACCCACAAAATATAGACTAAACTTTCCAGTGTATCCTATGAAGCACTTTGGGACGTCCTCCCAATGTGAAAGGTGCTATACCAAATGGAAGGATTATTATTTGTGGGACATTGCTGTGTGCAAATTGGCTGCCACATTCATCAACAATACAACTAGTCACTACACTTTAATAATAATAATAATAATAATCCTTGCATTTGATATAGCGCTTTTCACGTCTTCTTGACATCTCAAAGTGCTTCACAGAATAGACTGTAAAGTGAATTGCCCATATATTTGTGGGCGAAATGCGGCAGCCAATTGCGCACAGCAGTATCCCACAAACAGTCGTGGATTGCAAATGACCCAATTTATTATTGTTTTGTTTTGGAGGGATTATTATTAGGCATATGGAGTAAGGAAACTTGCCCAAGGTTTTGCCCTGCCTGGAATTGAACCCAGGTGTCTCGCTTGCAAGGCGAGTGCTCTAACCACTGAGCTACAGGACTCCACACTACAGGTCTCTGCCAATCGATTAACAACAGGGTTCCTACTTACTTGGAATGGAGAAGAACAAGGCAGACGTGCAAGAGTTATATTAACTGAATATAATATATCAGTTAATATAATATAATAGATGATTTTACTTTACAGTAAAATCCTGTGAAGCGCTTTGAGATATTCTCCCGGTGTGAAAGATGCTATATTATTATTATTATTATCAAAGGCAAGGATTATTATTGTAGTCAACCAAATTGAAACTTTTGTGAAAGAAGTCTGTTTTAAATCCCAGTGTTGTATATTTTTGGTTTGCAACTTCATCCTCTCAGTACACTATAATTCTCTGACACGTACAATCTGTATAAAATCACTTGAGTTGCTCTGCCAGATTCCAGTCTCTTGTTTTCTCCCATTTTTGAAACTGTTAGTTATGAAAAATTACACCTGTGTGTTGATTAAAATCAGACAATATAAAACAGATTGATCAGTGAATGAGAGACAAAGATCAACATTTCTGGTATGAATGACCCTGTGCTGCCTTCAGCTGACCAACATGTTCTAGATTTCCAGAAATAACTTATTTCAGATTTTCAGCACTTATTTTTTCATGACTCATGTGAAAGGTTCTATAAATGAAACATTTTTATTGTAATATTCGGACAAACGATAACTAAATTCTAATATTTTTGTACTTTTGGCTTATTGTAATATCCGTTGCAGTATGAATTGGCTGAATCAACATTAAGTCTAGAAGCAGAAATTTATTTGCCCATTGTAACTATTTTCTCACACAATGGTCCAAATTGCAATTGATTAGCAGAAGATACAATGAAAAAGATAATTTCCTAAATTTAGACATCGTTTCATTGAAGAAGACTGTACAGGGAAGTTTTTTTTGTTCCCATTTTTCTCTACAACTTCCTTTAGCTTAACATGGACAGCACAAAAGTCATTCAACCTGGCGCTCGCCAATGTCTGCTCACCTCCTGCTTTGACATCCTCAACCTCCCTGGCCTCTCTCTCAAACTTATTGAATCAGTGCACAACCGTGGCATCTGATTTGAACCTCAGTTCACCTTCCGTCGTCACATTTGGTCCCTGACCAAGACTGCTTCTCTTCATTTCTGCCACATTTCCCTATCTCGTGCCAAATGCCGCGAAAACCCTTATCCACACTTTTGTCACCTTTGTGGATAAGAGTTTCTGCGGCATTTTCCATGAGATAGGGAAATGTGGCAGAAATGAAGAGAAACAGTCTCTTGACTTTTCCAATGCACTCCTGCTGGTCTCCCTAGTTCCAACATCCACAAGATCCAACTAATGCAGAACTTTGTCGCTGGGATTCTTACCAAATTCCGCATGCCCATCTCCTAAATTCTGGTATCCTGTTTTCCAATGGATCAATTTCAAGGTCCTCAACTTCACGTATAAATAGCTTCTCCCTATCGCTCTGATCTTGTGCCCCACCCTCTGCTTTCACCCCAGATAATATGGGGCTGCTGTGTATCCTCTGCCCCATCATCAGTGGCTGAGTATTCAGTCCCCACTCTCTGAAATGCCTTCCATCTCGCCCCTCTCAGCATGTTTTTAAATCTCACATAACTGTTTTTCGGCTGAGCTTATGGTCCCCTTCTGTCTTGGTGTCCGACCAACCACTGAAATGCTCTGAGATATTCTGCAAGTGTGCTATACAAATACCCAGTTGTTAGTGAAGTTGCTGATACCACACCTCAAATTCCAAATGTTTAACATTTGTTTTGCTTTTAGATCTGGAAGTAAAGATGGTGCTAAAAGAGATCCCAACTGAATCCTTGTCTCGACCCCTCTCACGCAATGAAATAGTTGGTTTAATATTTCGTTTGACAATATTTGGTGCAGTAACATATTATACCATCAAATGGATGGTGGATGCCATTGATCCAACAAGAAAGCAAAAGATGGAAGCACAAAAGCAGGTTAGTATTTGAAATATTTTCTACTTTAAACAACATTGATAGTAGAATATCTGGGAAATAATTTTAGCACCTTATGGTTACATGTAGAAGAAATGCCCAGATTCACACATTTATTTTGGATGGCCTAATTGACCTTGACCCAAATGGATCACACAGCATTTTATTAGTCCACCTTCGTTTGCCCTTCCCAAGGGACTTTGTCTTGCAGTATTGAAACCAAGAGGATATGGTTGAGATGCTGGATGTTATTTCCATGGACTTCTGAAAGCACTGTTTTAAAGAATAAGATTTAGAGTCATGGAATAGATGGAAATATATTAAGATGGATTAACAAATGGTAGCTGATAAAAACCAATAAATAGCAGAGCATGTTGAGATGAAGGGTGCTATATAAATGCGAATTGCTGTATTCCACTTGAAGCCATATATGAGTGGATGCCACAAGGATTGGTATATAGAATATTGTTTAAAATTGTTATCAATAATTTGGACACTGACATCACATCATGTACACTATTCAAGAACCCAGGTAATAACTTCAAATTACAGAACCAAAAGAGAATAGGGAAAGCAGGAAAGCATTCTTTTCGTAAAAGGATGATAACCGTGTGAATCAGACAAACAGCATGGTTGGTAAAATAAGAAGCGACAAAGGATTTAAAAAATGTTCTGTCAACTAAAACTATGATTCATAGTTATTAAATTTAGAGAGAAATACATCAAAGAAATCTTGGGGAAAATTGGATGAGTAGGCTATTGGCATTTTGCCTGAAAATGTTAATACAGTAGGATGCATGTCTATACCTCCAGTTTCATTGATGAGATAAATAGGCAGATTACCCATTGAGAGTACCTTAGAATATTTTGGACTTGCTTGCCTTTTCCCAGCATGTCCCTTTTTCGTTCGAGCTAGTTAACTTCTCTCATCCCTTTTGAAACAGAGTTGTTCCATTGAATATTATGTAACTTTAGCAGCAATATTTTAAAGTATGGAAAGGATAGCAAAACCTTTCTAACCTACAGTATTGCATCAAATGAATTTTATAGTTATTGTTACATAGTCAACTTGTATTAAAGTGTGAACCTTATAAACAGCTAAATTAGAACTAGATTCAGAGGCAATAGTGTCCTCTTTATAAGTGTTCAACTTCATTTACGTTTGTATCCTTTACAAGGGTCAGGAATGTGCACTACTAATTCTCTGCATCAAACTTTTTGTTTCAGCACTATTTGTGGGTTTATTAATGAAACATAATATATGTGGGATAAATGATTGAATTATCTACAAATACTGTATATCCTACAGAAATTGAGTCACTTAATACTTGTTGAATTCAGTAATATACCTTTCTGTTTGCCATTTTATTTTTGAAGGATTTTCTCTCTCCTTTCTCTTGCACACTAATTCTCTCCCTCGTTTAAAGATGTTTGATTAATTTGTACTTCTCCTGGGGTAAAGATCCACATTTGCTTTTTGTTAAATGTTCTTTATATGCAGTATTTTGCTATACAGTAATCTTACCTGCAAAGCTATTTGGACATCTTAATCTGTAATACATTGACTACATGAAATCAATTTCTTTTCTACAAAATTGTAAGCATTCAGCTAACAGTTGTTACTACTGAATAGTACTGGAGTACTAGACATTAAATTAAGATTGAGGTATAGCTGTGGGAATGCCCCTGCTTTGTGATCTATTTGAGATTAATTATTTATTCATTGACTTGCAGGCAGAAAAACTCATGAAGCAGATTGGTGTAAAAAATGTCAAGCTCTCGGAATATGAGATGAGCATTGCAGCCCATCTAGTCGACCCCCTGAGTATGCAGGTAAGAAACACTTTAATTTTAGTTGGTATAAAATTATAATTTTAATCTTATCGAAAACATGATAAGACGCTATGCCAAATGCAAGGACTATTATTATTACTCTTGCAGTCAGAAAGTGAAATATAGATAGAGTGACTGTATAGAATGATAGCATTAGTTGCGAAATGTTGCAGGACTAATGAGCAGAGACCTCATTACCATTGTGTTGCCTGATATAAAATTCCGTTTTGTATTTGGAATTTAAATAATAAAGGAAAAAACAATTGAGAAAAAATGAAAAGATGTAGGTAGTGAGGTGAAGGCTGAGAGAGAGTAACAATTTTGGGAAGTAAATTGATACAAAGTAATGGTTGAAGGAAATATTAACATTGTGTTTCCATTTGTAATTTAAAATCCTCCCAACTTGCGTCCAGTAGAGAAAGCACGCAAATGACCTGCTTCGTGTACACCTGCCAATGTAACCACATAAGTGTGGGTGGTCTGAGTTATCAACAAATTTAAAATCTGTTTTATTCCATTCGTAATTCCAGCTCCCAATTGGGCCAACATCTGGAACTCACTAAACCAGGCTTCATGGGTATGAACCTGTGTCCTACTCAGAGCAATGGTGTTTTGGGGACCCCAAAACTAGACACTGGTTTACAGTGAGTGTGTGAAATAAAGTGGCTGCCAGGTCCACTTCTGGTTATCAGGTCCCCAATGACATTACTTCCTGGTTTGGGTAAATTGGCTTCCGGAACGGAACATGTGTGCTGCATGCAGGAAGCTGGCCAATCCGTGACGGACGTATACCACACCAGAGTCTCCAGAGCACCTGTGTTTTAAGCAGATTCACGCTCTAGCAAGGTGCCTTACAATGACATTGCCCTGCAGGTGGACGTGTATTTTTTCCATTTTTTCAGGAAATGTACATCACCTCTTCTGGTAGAGTAACTTGCTATTTAGGGGAATTGCATTTCACTTTGTGGTAGCGTTTTGGAGCTTCAGTGAGCTCCTTTTTCTAAATTTAGCACTGTCTTGAACAAATATTTGTTTTGTTTCAATTTTACATTGTATTCTAATAATCAGGCATATTATCAGTGAATTGAGGTGGAATTCCAGCTTGATTTGAATTCTGAATCCATGAATAAATATGGGGTTAGTAGTCATAATTTGAATATAAACAACATGTGATCTGAAGCAGAGAAATCTGTAGTGAGTACTAATTTGACTGTTTTTAAGAGTTGATGTATAAGCTTAAAATTAAAACAAATACATGTCAGATTTTTAAAATAAAATCCTACAGATGCTAACATTTCTGATTGCTTAACTGCTTCAATATCAGACTTGTTCAAAATCGTCCGCCCCTTTCCTTATTTTTTGAACAATAGATCAAACAACTATGATTTGTTTTACAGTCCAATGGGCAAATTTAGGATTTGCTTCCATATTGTGAAAGTGATAGCTAATAAAAATATTGGAAACTGTTACATGTTGTTTTACATCTACCAGCTTTTGAATCAAATTATATTGTCAAACGAAGGCTCATTACATAAAATATATAGTGTTTAAAAACTATTTCTGAAACGAAACAGGAAAAATTAAAACCATAATTACAATGTCCTGTATTGATTTTACAACAACAACAACATTTCATTTATAGAGCGCCTTTCACGTCGGGGGGGACGTCCCAAGGCGCTGGACAGTTGGGTCAGGACCCAAGCAGAGGGGAAATGGCCAGGGTGAGGGGAGGGAAGGGAGGGAGCGAGGAGAGGGTAAGAGAATCGAGAGGGTAGCTGAAGGCACGATCAAAGAGAAAGGTCTTGAGACCGGCCTTGAAGGAGGAAAGGGTGGAAGCAAGGGGAAGGCACTGGGGGATAGAGTTCCAGAGCCTAGGGGCTGAGAGGCTGAAGGCCCGGCCACCGATGTTGGGGCGGGGGATGTGGAGCAGACCAGAGCCAGAGGAACGGAGGGTACGGGCAGGTAGGTAGGGGGATAGTAGGTCGGAGAGGTAGGAGGGAGCGAGGCCATGAATGGCCTTGTAGGTGAGGATGAGGATCTTGAATTCGATCCTCTGGGGGATGGGGAGCCAGTGGAGGCGAGCGAGGGTGGGAGTGATGTGGTCGCGAAGCCTGGTGCGGGACAGTACACGAGCTGCAGAGTTCTGAATGACCTGCAGCTTGTGGAGGGAGGTGCCGGGAAGGCCGGCGAAGAGAGAGTTCCCATAGTCCAGCCTTGAGGTGATAAAGGCGTGGACCAGAGTTTCAGCAGCGTGAGGGGTGAGGTAGTGCTGTAGTCTGTCAATGTTCCGGAGGTGATGGAAGGTGGTGCCAGTTGTGGCGCGGATATGAGGAAGAAAGGACAGCTCAGGGTCGAACAGAACACCGAGGTTCCTGACGGCTTTGAGAGGTGGAGAGTGCAGCCTTGGATGCTGATGCTGTCAGCGCCTGAGGTGCGGAGGCGCTGACGTGAGCCAATCAGGAGGGCCTCAGTTTTGCGCACGTTGAGCTGAAGAAAGTTGTCTCTCGTCCAGGACTCGATGTCGGACAGGCAGCTGTCAGGACATCGGTGGTCGTGGAGTTGAGGGTAGAGGAGGAAAGGTAGAGTTGGGTGTCATCCGCATACATGTGGAAGTTAACCCCATGTCTGCGGATGATGTCACCAAGGGGGAGCATATAGAGGGTGAAGAGGAGGGGACCGAGGACAGAGCCCTGAGGGACACCACAAGAGACAGTGCGGGGGCTGGAGGAAAAGCCGTTTGTTGAAAAAAAATGAAGATGGTGGGAGAGGTACAACCTAAACCACTCAAGGACAGGGCCTTGAAGTTTGAGGTGGGAGGACAAGCGGTGGAGGAGGATAGCGTGGTCGACCGTATCGAATGCTGCCGATAGGACGAGGAGGCAGAGGGAGCCCTGGTCGCAGATGGTCAAGATGTCATTGGTGACCTTGACCAGAGCGGTTTCTGTGCTATGGGCAGCACGGAAACCCGACTGAAGGGATTCGAATAATGTATGGGTGGAGAGGAAAGAGCGCAGCTGGGAGGCGACAACTCTTTCAAGGACCTTGGACAGGAAGGGGAGGTTGGAGATGGCCCAGTACCTTGATAGCTGCGACGTATCAGGGGAGGGTTTTTTCAAAGCGGGAGTGATGGTGGCAGTTTTTAGGGAAATGGGAACAGAGCCAGAGGAGAGGGACAGGTTGATGATGTCTGTGATTAGTGGGGCAAGGAGGTGGAACTGAGAGATAAGGAATGGGAATGGGGTCAAGGGAGCAGGTGGTGGGTTTCAGGGACAGGATCAGTTTGGTGACAGAGGGTGGGGAAATGGGTTCGAAGTGTGTAGGGGAGGATGGGTAGGAGTCAGAGTGTGGGAGGGAAGGGGTGGGTTGTGGGTGGAAGTTGGAGGGGGAGTGACCGCGCAGCGGATTCCCTTGATTTTGGATTCAAGGAAATCCAGCATCTCCTCGCAGTGAAGGTTGGAGGAGATGACCTGGAGGAGATATATTTTAATATATATGACAAGTTTATTTGATCTTAAATACAGTCTATAGGGTAAGAAGATAAATGTGGAAGGTCACTAAGCATATGAATAATTTAAAAGTGAAACAGACGACTGTCTACAACAAAATTGATCTTTAAAATTTCAAACATTTGACTAACTCATTTCTGGAGATAAATCTGTCATTAGATTTTTTTTCAAATTAGGGTAATTTGTGTATCGAACAATAAAATGGGAATCAAAAAATGGGAATCAAGCTTATCAAATTCAAATATCTGAGGTAATGTGCTGACGTAAGTTTAGCCAACACCTAATTTATTTATAGCTTGTTAGATAAAATAAGTGAAAAATAATATTTTCCTTAACTATTTTGGTTTGTTTCTGTTCTTAAAACAGCATTCATAAATATGGATTAATTTACTAGAATTGATCTATCTGCAAGCACAGAGTTCTTTTAATTCAAAGCTACAATTTTTACTGGCTTACCACATATTTCTATCAGCACAGCATTTTTCCCTGCATTCAACCTATCCTGTTTTCTACATTACTCTCTTCTTCATTAGCAGCACCATATAAATAATGCCAATTGGTACATTATTAATTCTGCAGTTTAAGTATTCCAAACCATCATTTTAACTGAATTTAGTGTGCAGACCAGGCTTGGCCTCATATGATTTTGGGTTACCCGCCTCTCATGAGCACAAATTGTTTAAAAATATTTGTACTCAAATTCCTAATATAGTCTTAGTATTTTATAATTTTAATAGTTTTGTTACATATAGTGTACCACTGACTTATGTAAGGCTAGTTTATTTAGTATTATGTGAGATCATTAATGTTATTAATTACTAATGTTTTTGGTATGACATCCATTTTATTCCAGAGTGGTAGACTGAAAGCTAAAGTGCAGCATCAGTGATCGGTGGGCACTGATTGATGAAGAGAATCATTAAAAAATATTTTTAAATAAATGTATCTAAATATAATAATATATTGGCACTCGCCAACTATCTACTTGGTTGAAATTATTCTCTATATGTTTCAATGATCCCTTGTCTACAATGTTTCGATCAAAATGTTTGAATTGTATGCAATTTTACTCAATGGTATTACTGGATTATCTGTTCAGAGTAGCATAAGCAAGTGGTAATTGCCATACAATGCAGGACTTTTCAGCTTATTCAGCTCCCTGTTATTTGTACTGCAGATGGAGTTAAGAATGGACGGTCATTGGTTGTAGGTTTCATTGCAAGATTTCTGAGATGTAGCAGTTTACAAAACTTTGCTGGTTCATTTCTTGTGCTTTGATTCCCCTTCACTAGGTTACGTGGAGTGATGTGGCTGGCTTGGATGATGTCATTGCAGAACTTAAAGATACAGTAATATTGCCCATTCAAAAAAGGCATCTGTTTGAAGGTTCAAGGCTGCTTCAGCCTCCAAAAGGTACACAATGAGAACTACAATATACACCCCGTTTCAAGCAAGCAGCAAGCTCAGATCTTTTAATACGTTTTTTTGGGGAAGCAATACAATTAAAGACTGAGAGGAAACATCTTTCATTTGTATTTATATTTATGATATATTTATTAGAATGAAAGAAGAATACAAAGTATTATGGGGGAATGCAAGTTCACAATTGATTGGTATCCTGATGTGCAATGTAGAAATAATTGTTAGNTTTTTTTAATAAAACACTTGTTTGTGCTTTACCTGCAGGTGTGCTTTTGTATGGTCCTCCAGGCTGTGGAAAAACTCTTATTGCCAAGGCCACCGCTAAGGAAGCGGGTTGTCGATTTATTAATCTGCAGCCATCCACCCTGACAGATAAATGGTATGGAGAATCTCAGAAACTAGCTGCAGCTGTTTTTTCACTGGCTGTGAAACTGCAACCTTCCATCATCTTTATCGATGAAATTGGTAAGCAGCCATATTTTGGGCCTTTCAGCATTTTGTTCAAGGTCGTCAGAGAGGATGTTAATTGTAAATAAATATTTATACAGCCACTTAAATATTTATACAGCCTATTTTGTGCTGATGTATTTTGCTGGCACAAAATATCTTATCTAGTACAGTATCACTCCATTGATGCTATATGTTTAGTTTTTTTAAAAACAGATTCCATTTAGTTTTTTTACATATTTTATGAAATAACACTGCTATCTGTGCTCCTGCTACTAATTACTTTAGGTTATGTTAACTAACATTGAGTACCCCAAGAAAAATAAATTGATTCATTATTAATTTTGAATAGTGTAGATAACTTATTTTTGCACAAGAATGCTTTACTTTTTATTGTTCTTCAGATTCTTTTTTGCGTAATCGGTCCAGCTCAGATCATGAAGCTACAGCCATGATGAAAGCTCAATTCATGAGTCTCTGGGATGGCCTTGATACAGACTACAATTGTCAGGTAACTAAAATATTTGATTCCACAATTTTGATTGCATAACATCTTTTTGCCTCAATGAGGGATAATGATGTCGCAGAATGGATTGTGTTTTCTCAAATGCCAAGTGTATTTAGTCAAAGAATGCGATATGTTTAAAATCTGCAAGGAGTAGCAAGTCTGATGACCAGAGGTATATTATGAATGTCCTTGATTTAGTCCATATAACTATACAACTGCTTCTGTTTACCTTTGGTTGTTTGACACAATAGTCTTCCTTTGCAGTCATTGCTTGTATAATTTTTCATTTTGTCTTTGAGACCATGCTTCTTCCTCAACCACAATTTTAAACAAGGGACACTTGTTGTATCAAACAACCTTTATAGCCACAAATTTGAATTACTTGGTGTGAGAATTATATGTACTTTTTTCCATTGATGATTGGGCTCAAATATCGCTTTCATCTGTGCAGCATGAATCAATTATTAAGTGAACTATGTCGCCGCCTTGTGGCTGATTTGAAATAGTAAGATCACTGTAAACTTATTTGACACCAGTGCAATACATCTGCATTTGATTTTAAATGAAATATGAGATAAACTTTTCAATGCTGCATATTGAAAGTTTATATAGAAGTGAATTTCCATCCCTTTGGATTTAGAAGTATAGTTCAATTGATACTTTCCTTCAAGTTATATGAAAATATATGACCCCAAAAATTGTAGAATTATTATAATTCCTAGCCTATATTTTTAGAGTATGATTGAAGATTTGTGTCTTGAAGAATGCATCTTAAAAATATTTAAGTTATTTCTATGGCAATTATAAAATATGTTATTATCAATAATGTTTTATCAATATATTTTATCTGCATTTTACAGGTAATCGTAATGGGTGCCACAAACAGACCACAAGATCTTGACTCTGCCATTTTGCGAAGGATGCCCACAAGGTTTCATATCAATCAGCCTGTAAGTACACATCCAGGAATAATCCAATGGCAATGCAGTTTATGTAGGATTTAATATTGTTTCTGTAATGATGCTGAAGCCATGAAGTAAATAACCAAATAAAATTGGTCATTTACTTCATGACTGTTTGTGGGACATTGCTGCGTGCAAATTGGCTGCCACATACTGATGTATTGAATTTTGTCTGTTTCATAGAATGTCAAACAACGAGAATTAATACTGGATTTGATTCTATTAAATGAAAAGGTAGGTATCATTTTGTATAAAGGTCGGTCTTAATAACCATTCTGTTTTACATTTACATTGATAAAATTTTTCAAACTTGAGTTAAATCTTTTAAAAGTTTCTTCTGTTCTGTAGTCAGTTTTGATCTTGTGCGTCTTCTACGGCACATGGTGAAACAGATTTATTCTGTCCCTGTGTAGTGTTTATAATTATAATCCTGGCAGTTGATATAGTGGCTCATCATGTTTTCGAGATGTCTCAAAGCACTTCACAGAATATACTGTAAAGTGAATTAACTGTACATCTCATGAGCGAAAATAGAATTATTGAGTTAATAGAATCAGTCTTTTAGAGAAAAGGCTCACCTTTGCATTTATTTTGTGTATTGTCTTTTGGGAAATTAGTCAGTATTGCAATACAGAAATTATTCCCTCTCCCATTTCATCTTATCTTGCGGAATTGAGTGGTTTTCTCTTTTCCCATTGTGTCACTTTCTCAATTGTAACATTCATTTGGGGTTAAATTCAGTTATCTTCAAATGTAACAAAGTATGTGTTTGGTGCCCAGGTGGATATTCACGTGAATTTGAATGAAATTGCCAGGGAAACTGAAGGCTTCTCAGGGAGTGACCTGAAAGAACTGTGTAGAGATGCAGCAATGTTTTGTGTCCGAGATTATGTGAACTGTTCTGATACCGAAGAGAGGTTGGTACAAATCACTTACTTTAAACTTTTACAATACACTTTTAAAGTTAAGCGTCAGCATTAAAATGGCAGGCCTAATTGGGTTGTCAGAAAAGGCTAGAGTATTATTTACCAGGTATGCAATGTATATTGTATCATGCATTTTACATTATGTCATCTTTGAGGGTCTGTTACTTTGTCTGGTCATTCATTGAAGCAACAGTAATATTGGGCCATTATTTAACAAAACAAGTGAAACTGATCTGGAAAGGCAGTCAATTTATAGAATGTTATTAATAAATGTGTTTTTTTAGCCCTTCAGTACTACACATCTCTTGTAGCTTTCACATTGTGCACCTTCATCTATCTACAGCATTACAAAAGTAATTTCTGGTAAAAACTTCCAATAGTGCTAAGACTAGATGAGTAATTTTAAATGTAATACCTTCCTTTAACTATCAGCATGCTTCAAATAATCTATTTTAATAGTACTGAAGAGGAGATTCGACCCATCAAACAGCAGGACCTTCGAAAGGCAATAGGAAAGATGAGGCGGTCTAAAGAAGCTACTGTTCCAAATGGTTTGATGCATCTCACTGTCGACTGATAGACTTCTGTCCAATTTCTGAGACTATAGATTAAGCTGCATTGTTTTGCATTACGGCTTTGCTGTATGTGATGGTTTCTCTGCTGTTGGGGAAAACAATATAATGTATGGGGAAAGGGGGAAAAAAAGTGGAGGTTTTATTTGTTATATTTCTGGGAAAATTCAGTGCCACACATCAAACAAATGTGTACCTAAACTGAACCAAACTTTGCAGGTCTGTATTCACAAAAAACTTCACATTGATCTATTGTGTAATTCCTGTTTCAATTGGAGTTGTGCAGATACTTACTTGAATTAGGATTTTGTGTATATTGGTTCAGATTGTGAATACATTAGTATCATTGTTTCAGATTTAATGCTAAAGGACTACTGTTTGAAAGATAAATATTCTGTGGAAAACCAGAGTGGAGTTTTTAAAAACAATAAAAATAATTTTAGACTGTATTGTAATCTACATAATTTAGTGTTTGTTTGAGAACTCTGGAAACTCTTAATAAATAATTTGAATAAACTGTTCAAATTCAGTTTCTGACACTGGTTGAACCACAGGCTATTTTTGTTATTTCATTACAAACTAGGTTGGCCATGCTTTTTAAGTGTATTTTTAATTTTGTGTTTATTGTAAATTAAATGGCTAAAAGTCTGTAATTTCTTGCACATCATGTCTGTACTTCCTTACTTCATTATTAACTGGAACTTAATGTGGTAGCCCTGTAAATATGTATTCAATGATACTGGCAAGTTTACCATTACTGTTGTCTTTAAAGACTTGCACATGGCAGTATCAAGCCTCAAGAAGGAGCACTATTTCAGAATTAAATTTTTTTCAAGAGATTGTGAAACTCATGTGACCAACACATTGTCTCAAAATTCGCACAGCATACAGAGGGGTGTGTGTGTGTATAAGTGTGTGTGTATATATATATATATCAAGTGATTTTTTTGCTGATATTTTACAGCATAAAAATTATGTAATGTGTGTGGCACATCATAAGTAATAAAAAAACACCATTTAACATGTTATTGTGTACAATTTGAACAGTCTTTGGCAAACAGCCCCCGTTAGAAATAGTAGGAAAGTCCTCACAGGCCCAGTGCTTGCCATACAATTTTCTAAATTCCAACCATTTCATCATTTTCAAATTTAATTGTGACATTTTAAAATGTATTTGAAATAATTATCAGATATTTAAATAATTATCAGATACCAATCAGATTGTGCGGTTTATCAGCATCAGTTTAGGCTCGCTGGTGCTGCTGTGCATTAATTGTCAGAAGAGCAGGTAACCTGTTCCCAGAAAACAACAACAACAACAAGATTCCATTTATAAAGCGCCTTTGTACCTCAGTCTTGTACCTTTGAGGTAACTGCTGATGATACTCATTGGAAATTGCACTCCATTTTCCTTCCTTCCTCGCTATGTTATAGTCCCATCTTAGTACCATTTAAAGGATGTTTAAAATTAAGATTTTCAATGGGTATAAATTAGCATTTTGCTACTCAGTACTGCAATGAAGCATCTATGTGCATTACTGCTTTCTTTGTATAACTGCAGTATATTTTCCAACTAAGCCAGTTGTCTACTGCTATCACTCACATTTGCCCTCGATGGTCAATCTTTGTTTTGATATTTTGTTCTTTAATATATCTGGTGCCTTTATATCACTGGACGCTTGTCCTTGTCGAAGGTTAAGATGTAAGAAGATTCAATGCTGTCATTCGAGATGGTTCTCAATTTATCACTAATCTAATGCACGGAAAAAATGGTAAATAATCTTTTAAATATATTCAGATGTCTAGGTTTTATTGTATCCTGGAATATTTACACAATATAATAATTTCAGAGAAACATGAAAATCATTCTTCATGTGGAAGCTTGAGGTAATATTTAGTTTTAGAGAGCAAAGCTATGAGCAATTGTGTACACTGATACTTACTTTCCACTTTTTGAAATCTCTTTCCTATCCTCTTCTATCCTTTTGTTTATGCAAACCTTTTATAGGGACATCATAATAATAAAATAATCCTTGCATTTGATATAGTGTTTTTCACATCTTCTAGACGAAACATGGCAGCCAATTGCGCAAAGCAGTATCCGACAAACAGTTGTTGATTGAAGTGACCAATTTATTATTTCTTTTTTCTTGAGGGTTTATTATCAGGCATGTGGAGTAAGGAAACTCAAAGAAATCCAAGGTTTATGCCCTGCCGGGAATCTAACCCAGGTCTCCCACTTGTGAGGCGAGTGCTCTAATCACTGAGCTACAGGACTCCCAACAAATAGAAGAGACATAACTGAAGGATGAATACAATATATAACGATACACATTACATTTTACCTGACCAATAGTTCATGTTTACACATTGTTTTTCTTTTGTCAAGCATTCCTGAAAAGTATTTTTATTAAAAACTTAGGTATGACAAAGATTTATGTTTATTTATAGCTGTATCATTCAATAAATAAATTTGAACAGAGTTATTTTCACACCATTATGTAAAATGATTTGGAAGAGTTACCTATGAAAACTATGTTGGAATGAATAGTAGAACTAACTAAAAAGGCAGTACTTGGCTCTTCTGTAACTACTTTAACAACTGCAAGGCTTGAACATGAACATTGCTTTACTGTCTCCTTGGAATTGTACTTCCGTTCTATCTCAGGAATGCAAACCCACTGACTCGCTCTGCTGCTGTTTTGTAAACAAATATAATCTAGTTTTAAGATCTCTAGTCTACAGAGAAAGTTGGCTGGAATGATAGTCAACTTCCATTTGCTTTATGATAAATACATTAAGACATAATTTTTCACTAATGATGGCATTTTATTTGAACTGTTATGTCAATTTGGCACCACTGGTAGCATCTCTCAGAATGTGGGCTCAAGCCCCAAGTTAGGACTTGAACTCATCGTCTTGACTGACATTCCAGCCCAGTACCGAGGGAATGCTGCAGGTGCAGTTTATATGAGAAGCTAAGGCCTGGTGTCCCGGTTCAACTCATTCACCAAATATTCTGTTGGGGGTATTAGCTTGCCAAATTTGCCTTTAGGAAACTATATTTGACAATAATTACCTGTGAAGTATTTTGAGACATTTTGATGTGATGGCTGGGATCTAAAACTTGAGATTGTTTCTTTACCAAAGAATTTTTGAGAAAAAAAATGCATTATTGAACAGTGTTAAATTCACTAAGTTTGAGGAGCATCTATTGGGTCAAGATGCTAAAAATGCAAGAGTTTGGGGGGGTTCTAACCAGTCTTCGTTATTTAGCTGGTCACATAAAGGAAATTTTAATATTTGTTTTCCTGAAATGCCAATTAACCCTTTTAGGATTTCTAGAAAACATTTAAATATTTTTAATCTTTAAAGAGGAACAGCGTATCAGAAAAAGTATCACTCTTGAGATTCAGCAATCACCATTTTGTTCATGGTCATAAAATATCCAACTTGCAATTTGGCTGAAGGAATTTTCAAGTCAGCATGAGCTCTTCCAATGAATAGCTGACAATTATTCAATATGTAGGGTGCCAGACAGTATCTAGTGTTGTCTAGATCCAAAAAGGCATAATCAATAAGATGACCTCTTCGTTCTAGAGCACAGAATAATAGTATCCAAATCAAATCTCCAATTCAATAAGTAGTTTGAATGATATGCAACGTCCTTTGAAAAGGACTTTCTTTAACTTATGGCTGAGTGAAAATATGCAGCTCTTTGTCTATACCTATCCGATCCTACTCAACATGGTCGCTCATCTGGAATAAAACTGAATTTTGTTCTATCCCAAGACTTTTCATTTCTGTCCTTTCCAAGAAGAAAACAAAATTAGATGTTATATTTAACTTTTGTGCTGGGCCATTGTTCATTGTTCCTTAAAATATAATCTCCACAAAAAAGACACAATAGGCATTATATGTTCTCTACTCATTATCCTGGGCTTTGATTTGAAAGAGCATAAGTCGAAATTCACAGGCAATTTGCATATGGCATAAATTGTAGTAATTTGATTCAAGTATCAGTGCACTCATTCATCAAGAGAAGAAGCACCGAAACAGCAAGCTGAAACTTATTGAATATTATTTAGACTTTGTTTCTTCAGGTCAGCTTGTTAAATGAGATGTTAAAAATGCAGCAGGAGTTGTGCCTCTTTTAAGTTCTGGGAGTTTGAGTTAGGTTAACACAGTCATTAGGCTGCAATGAAATCAGTCCAGAAACCTTTTTATATCAATATTTATTAATGTTATTACATTCTGCAAACAACATGCATCACATATCATGCCTCTTATACAGACTAAAATATTTATGTGTTTATGAAAGAAAAAAGCCGAATATGTGAACATCAGACGTAAATAGCAAAGGATAGTGTTAAACAGAATCTGTTATAACTATGAAAAGGTTAGGAACTGTAGACTCAGGAGAGAGGAACCAGCTGCAGTATTTTGGATCAACAGCTTTCTTGGTCCATTACATGTCAATATTGCTGTTTGAATGCCACAACAGTGTATTGATATGACAGATCGAATGGAATTTGAAAATAAATTACTTCCTGACTAAAGAATAAGAGATAGCCCTTTAAAAATTAATTAGCATTTCAAGCCCAGGCAAGCCTTCTCAAATAATAATAATAATCCTTGCATTTCATATAGCGCTTTTCACGTCAGGAGGACGTCCCAAAGCGCTTCACAGAACACACTGTAAAGTGAATTGACTATATTTGTGGGTGAACGTGGCAGCCAATTGCGCACAGCAATGTCCCACAAACAGTCGTAGATTAAAAATGACCAATTTATTATTTTTTTTGTTTTGGAGGGATTATTATTAGGCGTGTGGAGTAAGGAAACTTGCCCAAGGTGTGGCATAGGGGAAGATTCAAGCATTGGCACAAACACAAATGGTAATGTTTCAGTTTTCTTTAGTGCCAACACAAATACCTATTTATTGCAAAAATGCAAACAGAAGCCCATTGAGTACTGAAGTTTTGAATACTCAAAGATTAATACTTGTATTATTAAATGAGTTGGATAGTTTCGATTTTCACACTTATCTCGTGGGAGTGGGTGGTGCAGGCAATCAATGGAGGATATGTGCTTCCTCCTGTGATTGCTTGTGTCAAGAGATCCTCCTGCACACACCACTACAAAGGGAAAGCCAAGATAAAACAATGGGGACTTTAGGCTCAGTTGACAAAGTCATTGAAAATGAGCCTCGGAGACTTGGAGGTTATATTCACAGCTTGTGCTGAGATAGCTAATCTCAATAGGGACAGTAATTGGATACTGCAATTGACCTCAGAACCCTTAGGTTAGGAAGAGAAAATGTTAGCCAGGTTTCTGCTCTTAATCGCTGTCCACGGTACCTGTTTGAAAGTTTTCATGGTTGGATGATGGAGAGGGTGGCATTGTGCCCGAGTGTGATATCCTGGAATTAACTATTCAGCTTGTCAATATTTGGGTAAGGTTGCTGGAAAGTTACCTGTCCTCTGTAAAGCTATGTCACAATGTGCATCACTGTCTTTAGGAATGGAGTACAGAAACAAAAACCATAATGTGTCTTTAAACAAAAACAACTTATATAGCCCCCTAACGTAAGATAATGTTTCAAAACGCTTCCAGGATGGGGATCGGACATTGAGAAACGGGGAGCAGGAGCGGAAAGGGGAACTTGACAGTAGTTTTAAGGCAGGATTTGAAGGTACTCAATAACAAATTACATTTGTACAGCACATTTCATTTCGGGAGGATGTCCCAAGGCGCTGGACAGTCAAGAATTTGCACCGGAGCTGGAGATTGGGATGAGAAGGGGTGGAGAACTGGAGGGAGGGAGTTCCAGATGAGAGGGCATAGCAGTAAAATGTAAAAATGTTAAACTTTTCTTTAGATGAAGATTCATAGAAATGTGTTTATGATTTAGCAGTTATTAACTGTTTTCTAAACTTGACAAATCTTTCTGGTATTGTTGAAATTTTTCAACACTATTATACGTGCAGCTTTGCTATCTTACTCCCTTAAAGAAATGTTCACAG